TGCCGTACAACCGTATTTCGGTTGGAAATCTGATTGGTCTATGGGACAACAGATTTTTTAATCTGTCATTTGATTGGTTGGTGCTAATTAGATTACTTTTCTTTTGCTCTCTAATTATTAAATAATTTTTATGAAACAAAAATGTCACTCCATCATTTAAAGACAAACCATACCATACGAAGGTTTTAGGTTGAGTGGGAGGAGATTTTCACATGTGTAAAACTTGAATAAGAAGGAAGCAAGAGAAGTGTGATCTGGTTGTTATGGATTTTCCGCCTCAATCTCAGGTTGGGGTCCACCGGAACTCAGTTCCGGCCGGAAGCCCGATTTTTCAAAGTTGACCTGTTCCGGCCGGAACTAATAAAAAAGCATGACCTGAACAGGAACTCTGTTATCTTAATAGTAACGTATGACTATATATGGCTTAATAAATCAGTTCTGGTTCCAGCCAGAACTTTTTTCCAGTTCCGGCAAGAATTTAAGAAATTGGTTCTGGTGCACCCCTAATCTCAGGACCTAAATCCTATTGAGAATTTATGGGATCATTTGCAATGAGAGAAACTGAAACATGATCTCCACAGTAAAGACAACCTGTGGGATGTCTTTATTAACCCACTGAGTCGCATTGCACCCTGACGTACCCTACTTTAGTAGTTTACTCTGTCTTAAACGCCAGATGATTTTACTCGTCGAAGGGAGAGCGCTGGCGCTCAATGGGTTAACTGGCCTATCCGCCCATGTGTCTAGTTAACCCACTGAGTCGCATTGGACCCTGATGAACCCTACTTTAGTATTTTACTCTGTCTAATGCCAGACGATTTTACTTGTCGAGAGGAGAGCGCTGGCGCTTAATGGGTTAAATTAATCAATTCTGGAATAAGATTAAGCCAACAGTACTAGAACACTTGTTGAATCTAAGTCAGGAAGAGTTAAACCTATTTTAAAATCAAAAGGGGGTCACACAAAATAATGTTCACTTGGCTAATATAATGTAATCAATTCCAACATTGATGTAAATCCTACTTTGATGCACATATAGTGCGGTGTTGTGGGAAAATATATTGTATTGATATAAAAGGCAAGAGAATATTGACTTGACTTTTAACCCCTATTGCTGGATATAACTATCCAGTTTGACATATCTTGTATAATTACTCCTTAGGTACAAATAGGTGATACTTGGGCAAGCAGTCCACAGTCGATTAGTAAAATTGTCTCGTGCGAGACATACATGAATGTTAAATATCAAAATAGTTAAGTAGGTAGTGTTAGGGAAAATTGCATCTAAATATGTCAACATGAAACATGGGCAGAGTCTAGCTAGACACTTCCCTTGACAAATAAAATTGTCCGGCATTAGAGAAGATAATATTTAACAAACTGCTGAAAATTGGCTCATGGGTATAATTAATTAAAAAAAAACATGCTCAACACCCTTGCCGAGGTGTCTGTAAAATATATAAAATGTAGCCCAAAGTTGTTACATTATATTATTGTTGTTCTTGAAGGGGTTATCCGAAACGCACCGTATAAATTTAATCCATAATTCATAAATCAATATAATTTGCACAAAAGATCGCTTTAAGGTGGTTTCTATAGAAACAATACAAATACATTATAAACTACGCTACAACAAACAAATTACTTTACAAATACATAGAAAACAGGGCAAAAAACATGCAAATGTACCTGACTTTTGCCCTTCGATCCGAACGATCAAAAAATATAAAAACATGTGTTATTGTCACCTGATGTCCTGTCTGCTCGCAGGCGATTAGGCCCTACTTTTCGGGCTAGATCCTACAATTATTAAACAGATCATGCAGGTGGTGTAACTAAATATACTCATAAGTTTGAACAAGCAAACTAAGGACTTTAACTGTCTCCAGTGCACATCCATGAATCAAGTTACCACACAACACATCATATTGTTTCACTTAACACTTCCCCGGGGCTTGCAAATAAATATCATGACGGGCAAGTAAACATTTTATCTTGCTTCTCCGATTGAGCTAGTTGCCATGCCACAAAAAGCTGCCAGGCATGTTTTTATTGTCAGATAAACTTTTTATAGTGCATGTCAGCATGTACTTGATTCAAATTTTGTTTTTTTGTGGGCCAAAGCTAGGATCTGAGGCAGTATAAGACATATTGACAAATCAACATGTTGTCCCCTTAATTTATATCCTCCACCTGGGTATCCCAGTGGCCATTGTCCAATGGCAAGTGAATTTTTATATTCAAGGCAACTAATTTTCCTGTTCAACTTGCCCTGAGAGTGAGAGCTGGCAAGTGGTAAAAATAGTAAAGTTACACCACTGTTATATATATGAATAAATATTAGAAACGTATGAAAATAGCAGTTGATATATGTCAATAAATTCTCTCAAATCATGTTTAGGTGAGGCATGCCTATGTAGGCATATGAGGATTGAGTAGATGCCAATTAAGCTACATTATTCTATACAAGGTTCACTGTTTAAATTAATACAATCTGTCTTGTACACAGCTATACTATTTGGCATTACAACTGTGTCAAATGTTATTGTAATAATGCAAATATTATCGCGGCAAATTCAAATATATTTAAGCCAGATCACATACTCAAAATTCATGAATGATGGTAAATATTTCGTTTCAAAATTGCTCTATTATATAGAAAACATAACAATATTCTTACCTGTATGTTACTCAGTCATTGCTGATATTCCATCTTCGTTAAAATACGTTATTTTCATTTAAAATATCAATATTTCACTCCGATAAAATTTACTGAATGAAAATTTCAAACATATGGCGGTCTGATCGAATGACGCTATCCCAGGAAGCTTTGCGCATGTTGTAGGAAAATTAGGCACCAGGCTGTCAAACCGCGCTCATCGTGAGAATTTAATTAATTCGTTCCAAATTATAAACGTAAGTAGGGCAAAATTGGGGGGAAATAACTTTAAAAAGAAGGCATATGCAATATTGTAGTTGAAAATAAAATAATTATGTAAAAGTAATGAGGAATTTTAACATAATAGGAAATGTTTTTTCGTCGACCCCTCTTCCCACCCCCACCCCACCCCACCCAACCCCCATTAACAACAATTTTGGGAAAGTTTACACGGACATTTTTCATTATAGTCAGAGAAAAGTCAAGTAAATTTCCTTCCTCCCTAATTTGTTTCTCTCCTATAAACTTTGGTAAATATAGTTTCCATGAACTCATGCAGAATTTAAAATTAACTCAGACTTTGAAATTTTGACCAGTTAAATAAATATAATATTTTGACCAATTAATATTAATTAAAAGTAAAAAAAAGTGGTTGTTTCAACCAATCAGTTTTTACAGTGAGGTAACTGGATTATGTATGATCCTCTATAGAATATAGTGGTGAAGTCAGCCCGACAATTTGTTCATGCTACATAAATATTTCTGTGAAAACAATAAATTTCTAAAGAAATGAATATATGATATTTATTTGAAATTTGCATGGCATGAGCAAATTGTCGGGCTGGCTTGGGCACAGGGCCACAGGCACTGCTTTATAGTTATAGAAACTAAAGTGTATTTTTAAAAAACTATAGCTACAAAACTATAGTTTTCATAGAACAATGGTGTATTGGTAAAAACTATGGTTTTCATAAAACTATAGTGTATTGGTAAAGAACTATAGTTTTCATAAAGCCTGTTATCCACTAGGCGGAATTTTGCGCGCGGAGCGGAATTTTTCTTTGTCTTGTGATTTCTCGGGTGGGACTAATCAGAAAAGAAAAAGAAAGATTCCGCTCCGCGCGCAAAATTCCGCCTAGTGGAAAACCGGCTTTAAACTATAGTGTATTGGTAAAGAACTATAGTTTTGATAAAAATTATAGTGTATTGGTAAAGAACTATAGTTTTCATAAAACTATAGTGCTTTAGTTATGAAACTAAAATATATGCTAGTGGTAAAAACTATAGTTGTCTAAACTCAACTATAGTTTTCAAAAAACTATAGTTCCCTTGGGTTATAAAACTATAGTTTATTGGAAAAAACTATAGTTATTTTGAAGTTAACTATAGTTTTTTTTGGAAACTATAGTATTCTACCAAAAACTATAGTTTTCCACCAAAAACTATAGTTTTTCTCAAAAAAACTATAGTTTTTGGTGAAAAACTATACTTTATTTTTGCAAGGGATAGAGCCAAAACTGAGAATTTTAGAAAGCGATACCGGCACCTTCCCAAAGTTGTAGACAAGATTTGTTGTTTACGTCCAACGCGCTTAAAATTGCATAACTCAAAATGATCCAAGCAAAACGGTCTTTTGCTAAATGTAGAGACTGGGTCATAGGAATTAGTCACTTTGAGTTATGCATTCGTGTCTCATCGCCATTCGTGTCGTTGAACAAAGAAAAAGTTAGTCGTGAAATTAGAGAAAATAAAATAGCAGTTTGCGAGAAAACGCAAGGTCTACGGAGCGGGAACTTTTCGGATTTGAACTCAGCGTGTTCGACAGTGTTAGTTCCCGTAAAAATATTTCAGTTCCAAGACATGCACTACGGAAATCGTTTTCTAGGCACTTTTCAAGGCCACAGCAAACGGCCTAATACTAGGTTCACTGTTTGTGAAAGTGGTTGAGGGCTTAGTCATCATTAACAGAAAGGGGGCGGAAGAGGTCTATACGACCAATACATTGCACAAAAGGGTCTGCGACACGCTATTTCGTGCATGTTAGACACGTTTGAGGACAATTTGAAACCCACAGATTGGGTATATTTTATATCACAGTTAAAGCATGACCATGTCGGTTAAGGTCCCAACAATTTCTCATTATAGTTTTGAAAGAATTACAAAACAGGTCCTGATGGAATCTAGGGGGGGGGGGAGTGCTCAGATCACATGGCTTCGCCCTTTAAAGTGGAATATTGCTAACTGTATGCTGTATATCAATCTCGTACCCAGAGCAATGCCTGTGCGCGGGCTAGGATGGCATTGGCTCTGGGGAAATTGAATTTTTCCTGTGCTGTGATTGGTTTAACGTTTATCAATCGTGCATGCCGACAAAGAACCGGAACCCATAAATTTAGGGGTTTCGGTTGTCAATTTCCCCAGAGCCAATGCCTTCCTAGCCCGCCCACAGGCATTGCTCTGGGTACGAGATTGGCTGTATATAGGATGACACTTGAAACTTACAAAGGCCTGCACCGCTGTTGTTGTTGCTATTGACGTTGTTGTAGTTGTTGTTGTTGTTGTTGCCGCTGCCTGAATCACTACCTATCAACATGAAAAAAAAAAGAAATCCTTTAAAAAAGTAGTGAAATACTAGTTTTTTCAATTAAAACCAGAGAACAACGTACACCAATTAATACATTTTGACATTCAAATTAATGGTACTTTGAATTTATATATAATTATACAACGTTTGAGAAGTAAGTTCAGATATCCAACTTCGGATTTACAATATAGATTTCAAAGCCCGCGTGCGTTAATAAGGTTCGCTTGTTCATGCATGACGCACTGGGACCTTTGAACTTTGGTAATTAATGTCCTGTATCTCCTTTTGAAGTTTTACATTCTATTATAATTTTTTTTTTATTTTAAAATTTTGGAATGAACCGTTCTGAATTCATCAGGAATTCATAAGCAATTAGCCAATCATGTTGCTTTTCATCTGTCAAACGGGCCCGCGAGGTATTATAATCAGGAGAAATGGTTGAAAACCGAAGTATTATCTAAATTTTGTTCATTGATTGGAACTGCAGTTGGATTGCTTACTCGCTGCATGCGCTAGCAATTACATACTGTATTTCCAAACAGAGAATCACTTATCAAGTAACAGTTCTCGACCCTCGCTGTTCTCTAAACTATCTGGTGCTCTGTAGCATACCGTTGAACGATTGATAAATAATCCCCGTATACTAATTCGACTCGCCCAGGGAAAGGAACAATTACGCCCGGGGAAAGGAAACGAAAGCATTAGCGAAGTCTAAAGGTCCAGACACACCGGACGCGATTCGACAACGCGACTCGATTTTTCCGCGATTTTCACTGACCGATAAGTTTGATCCTAGGTTAAATTTTTCAAATATTTAGAAGCGCTATAATATTTTGAGTTATTTGGTCTACATATCTTTCAAAATTTGCTCTCATTGACTGTTTTATTAACTTTCAAAAACAAAAAAATCGCGCCGCGTTACCGAATCGCGCCCGGTGTGTCTGGACCTTAAAGCTCATCAATAATTGCGGGCGCGTAGCTTTGTTTCACGTTTTATCAGTGGCCAACCACGAGAAATCTTGAAATATATAGGGCAAGTTTTCTTTAAATGTTTTTTAATTTTGTTGTTTATAAATTCATTTCCCCATAAAACAACGCACCGCTTCCTTTTCAACTATGTAGCTGTAAGTTTCCAAAATTGCCCTGTTTACTTTAATTTAAAAAGCTTAAAATGTGACGGGAAGAAAATAAATTTCAACACCAAAAAGAAATTACTCAATTATCTGAGGTTACAGCTTAAATTTTGCCGATAAAATCAAAATTCCAAAAATGCAAAATGACATACCTAAAGTATAAATTTCGGGAATTCGTTGTTATATAGTTAAAAGTACTGAACTTTCACCAATTTTTGCGATTTTGCCATTTAAAAATTAAAAATATTCGTGTTGTGGAAATATTTGAGTTGACACGCAACCCTAGCCTGCGTCCAGTGTTGGCCATTTACCAAGCGGTTGGTGCCTGCATATTTTTGTAGGAAGTTTATATTCAGCCATCATCACTTATCATCGCCCACCAAGGGAAAGGCATTTTGTTTCTATACTGCCAGTTTTGGAAGCCTGAAACTCAGTAACTTTGCCCTTACCTCTAACGGCTTTGTAATAGGACGCTGAGAAGGCATCTCCTGTTACTTCGGAATCAGACGTAAACTTCACAAAAAGATACTGTCCAGAAGACGTTACCCGCCAACTTCTAGCGCAATATTTTCCAAGACTCTTTGAACGTTCGGAGGGACCATCAAATACTTCCACGGAATCACACGTGCACCCGGAACAGGCCTCCATGTTGAGATAATTGATGTTCAGTTTAACCACATAATACCGTGGAACATAAATACGCCAACAGTACGCGGTGTTATTTGGGTATCTGCCAGGATATCCCGGACCTTTTATGTTCCCACTGGGAAGTCGGAGAGTTGAAATCGAGCGACAAGTAGCTAGGAAAAGCAGAATATCTCGCTTATTTTTTCTTAGAGAATTACCGAGGGATTGAGCAGTTAACCTTTTATAAAATCAAGCTGCTATACAGTATATTGTTGTAATACATGAAGTATATGAAATCCTTTCGACCGTTCAAAGTAATGATCTTGCAACCAATCATTGATTCGTTTGTTTCTTCTATTTATTAAGTCTATCCCATTTAGTTACAAGTTAAATTCTGGACTTTTAAGTCTGCTCTCGTCCTCTTATAATTATAAAACTTCGTTTGTACTTTTCTTTCATGTTATGACTGCATGTAATACAGCCTGTTTTAAATATTTTCAAAGCTCACCAGCTGTAGATATTTTTAAAAAACGTTTTCTCCGGGGTTTTGCAAAAAGTATATAAAGGCCGTATTCTGTGATCGCTGCCGTCGGTCGCGATCGGGCACTAATTTTAATTTGCAAAAATTTATAGATTTTTACACGCTGAGTAAGAATTCACTTGTTGTCACGCATACAAACCTGCAGTTTTTTTGATTTTACGATCAAACATCAACATTTTTTATTAAAATTTCCGCCATTTTATTCAGGAACTTCATGTTATATACAGTTATTGTACTAGTTCAAGTCTTTTAACAGGGAAGGTTGTACGCGGTATTGCCACAGTTAAAAATAGATATTTTTGCACCACACAACTGCTACAGCCTATCCCAGTCGTTCTGAAGCAAGCGCGAGAAAAAAGTGGATGTAGTACGAGACTGGGACCTATACACAGGCATAAAACTTTTCAGACTTATTTAAATATATCCATGCAGCGAATAGAGAGAGAGAGCCTGGGACTAGGCTGGCTTTTCCGTACGATTCACTGCATAAGTAGCAACATTAAACTTTTATTATCAGGCCGTTTGCTGTGTCCCGATATCGTTCACTTTTATTTCCCATGTCTTGGAACTGAAAATTTTTTACAGGAACTAACACTTTCGAACACGTTGAGTTCAAATCTGAAAAGTTCCCTTCTTAATCCTGCAGTTTTCTCACAAACTGCAATTTTATCTTCACTAATTTCACAACAAATTTTTTCATTGTTCAACGACACAGATCGATGACGACACACGATTATGTCACTCAAAAGGACTAATTTTTATTAAACCAGTCTTCCTTTTAACGAAAGACCGCCTTGCTCGAATCATTTTGAGTTATGTAATATTATGCATGTTGGGCGTAAACAACATATTTTGTCCACAACTTTGAGAAGATACAGATAACGTTTTCTAAAATCCTCAGTTCAAGAGATATTTCTCTAAAATCGCAAGACGTTAATGCTAAAGCCCTGGGCAAACTAGGAAACATTGTTGCGGCAACATTGTTTTCTGCCAATGTTTCGCCGTGTTTCCCAGAGTGGGTAAACACTAGGAAACATCATTGAAAAACATAGGGAAACATCAAATGTTTCTGAAATTTGTAGGAAACATTTTTGCTTTCCAGGAAGCAAATTTTGTTTCCGCATGCAACAACGTTTCCCACGGGTGGGCAACAATGCAAACATTTCAGGAAACATCGAGGATCACAAATGCTTCCGCAAAAATGTTTCCTAGTTTGCCCAAGGCTTAAGTCTTTTGGCTATGTCCCTGGCTTGAAAAATAACTCTTTTAACGCGATAAAGGTATTTAAAACAAAACTAACGCAAAGCCAACAGAACGGCAAAGACAACGCTAAAATGAAATATTGTCGTTGGGTTGCTTGTACTGTAGAAGACTTACAACACGATCACTCTTAAATAACCTTAAACTAGAAGAATAAATGTTCACATCAAAGACAAAGATCTGTGCCAAAGTATAAAATCTGCTCTATAAACTTACGACGCAGTGGAGAAATGTGCGCATAAGCTGTTTATTTTCAGATTTCAACGTATATGGAAGCCCTCTTTCCAATAATGTTCGCTAATCGAACAGAATAATTAATATCAACTGATATAATAGTTCAAATGCAATAATAAGTTTCCTCTTGAATTACGTACGTACGTACGTCTCAGAAACTGTGTTGAAAATTTAAATGCTGACCCAATACATGGCATTGCCGTTATTACATCGTTGTATAAAACATTTTTATCGCCTGTAAGGAATTATTTCTCAGTCCAGAGACATAGCCCAAAGATTTAACCTTAACATCCTTGTAATTTAATAGAGATAGAGCCAGAACTGAGGATTCTAGAAAGCGTTAACTGTACCTTCTCAAAGTTGTTGACAAGATATGTTGTTTACGTCCAACATGCATAATATTACATAGTTCAAAATGATTCGAACAAAACGGTCTTTTGTTAAAAGGAAGACTGGTTAAAAGAAATTGGTCCTTTTGAGTGACATAATCGTTTATCGTCATCGATCCGTGTCGTTGAACAATGAAAAAATTTGTCGTGAAATTAGTGAAGATAAAATTGCAGTTTGTGAGAAAACTGCAGGTCTAAGGAGCGGGAACTTTTCAGATTTGAACTCAGCGTGTTCGAAAGTGTTACTTCCCTTAACAATTTTCAGTTCCAAGACATGAGAAATGAAAATCGTGTTCTAGGCACTTTTCGAGCTAACAGTAAACGGCCTATGTTGGTAACGCGTAATTTGGTAGCCCCTAAAGTAATACAAAACAAAATATAGTTTATGATAACAAAATGATAACATATAGCCCGCGTGCAGGCCCAATGGAACTGATAGTGGGCCTGCAAGCAAGGCCCGGTATTTTGTTCTTTACGCGTTCGCCCATGAACGCGGCTTTCTGATTGGCTGTTTGCTGTTGGATTCTATAATTAGGTCTGTGATTCATCACAAAGGCTCTCGATAAGCTCAAAATTCGAAAATTGATCACTTTTTTCGATTATAAATGGAACAAGAACAAACGGTTTATTGTTTACTTGAAGGAAGAGATGTTTTTGCCGTTATGCCAATGGGGATTGCTTGTCGTGAGGTGTTGGAATAGCAACATTACGACTGGGGTAAACTATAGTAACCTTTATTTGAGTTTCATTAATTTCAAACACACTTGATACGTTATATGTTCCTCAAGAAAATTATCTTTTGGTTGATGTTGAGATGCAGTTGCATGTAAGCCTATTCGAAACACTTTGCGATTTACAAGGCTTCGCTGAGAGAGCGAAACAGAAGACGGTATATTAAATTGCCGTTTGAGACGAAACGATCTGGACTCTGAACGCTCTCTTCTTTTGTAGAGTTCTTTACCAAATGAAATAATTGAAATAAATTTCGTACTTTCCGCCGCCAACAAGAATTGCACACACGATCTGATAAGTGAGACAATTTATTTATAACAATGCCAATGGCGACAGCGAAGCACACATAATATAAATGCTAATGTGGTCGCACGACTTCCCTCACGATTTGAAGTTTGAGACTAGTTTTCTGTTGAAATTCGTCCTAATTTGCCTGTTGCGATTTTAGTTGAAAATGAGCACTTGCAAATTTGGCAATTACTGACTGCGTTGCTTGCTTTTTTAGAGTTAAAACGCTGCCATTTACACATTGTTTATGTTCTGAATATAAGCAGAGAAAACCCCGCAACATTTTAATGCGAGTGTGTTTGTTTATATTTGGGTGCTGTCATTGGTTCTTTTTTGACAATTGACACGTGAATGGGGCGTGTTATGAAACGGGGCGTTTTACAAAATACCGGGCCTTGCTTGCAGGCCCACTATCAGTTCCCTTGGGCATGCACGCAGGCTAGATAACATATTGCTTTATTATTAACTATCATTTATTGTTTATCATTAAAATTGCTGAAGCAGTTTCCGTCGATAAAACTAAAAATTAAAACAAATATCGCGTTCCCGCCAAAAACCGCGCGGGAATTTCTTTTAGCGCTTGCCAGGCTAGCCTCGTGTAAAACAAATAAGAACTGCCCGGTAAAGCTAGCTAGCCCGGTTTACGGGACCAGCCTGGCTCTGGCCGCGTTTAGGCTATGACCACTATAGTAAAATTACCATAGCGTAGTGATTTAATTGCATCCGGAGTGCCAAACGTAGTGGTCTGTAGTTTATTCGCTACGGCAAACCACTCCGTTATACTGCATAAACACAATACTATGAAACGTAGTGAATTTTTAACGAAATTGATTGGCATTCAGAGTACCAATATAGTGGTCCGTAGTTAGAACGCTATACGAAAAACCACTTCGTTATAGTGTAAACACAATACTAGAAACTAGAAACGTAGTATAAAGTTTAACGGAATGTTAGCCATAAACGCGGCCTCGTATGATTGACAGTTCTTTAAGGTGGCTCGATATAGTTATCACAAGAACCCTGCTCAAGAATCGCGAACTCAAAACCGGGTGACCATTTTTACGCGCAGGTCGTGGAAACTGATTAACAAAATGAAAAGAACATCCAAAATGACCTGACGTGAGCAGTTGCTCCCGCCATATCACGCCATTGAGCGTGTTCTATTTAACAATCAGTCGCCGAAGGCGAGGTGATTACAAGCCTATGGCGAAGGCGAAGTGAATATAGGCTTGTATAATCACCGAGCCTGAGGCGACTAATTGTTTTAGTATAAATTTCCAGGTGTTTACAAAGAATAATCCACACAACTTTATAAAAATTCACTTCAAATAACTTTATTTTCACTATAAATAGTTTGTTTACAAAATTTAACTCTCAGACACGGCTCTGTGTCGCGTTGCGACTAAGCTAGTTTTTTTTCCAAATAAAAGCACGCAAAGTTTAATATTTTACCTTGAAATATTTTTAAACCATATTTTGTAGCTTGTTTGGGTTTTTTCGGAATGCTATCTTCTTTAATTTTGGCAATTTCCTCCTCTGTTACTACGGCAAAACGAGCAACCATTTTGAAAAAAAAGCTATAGTCACTGACCAGTGACTATCACTTCAGAGACAGTGAATCTTGACCAATCAGAATGCAGAAAAATCAATAGTCTCCTGGAAATTTATACTAAAGCGTTTTATGTGAATTGCTGACGTCATTAGAATTTTTCATTTTAGAAAAACAATGCGCTATATTTCTTTATTTTGTCTGGTGACCTATGTTCAAATTTTGCATGCTGTATTGCACCGCTAAAAACTTTCATTATACAAAAAATAAAAGAATTCTGTAATGCCAAAAAATTTTTACAGAATTATATGACATTTTCGCATTTTTCAAAAAAATGGTATTACAGAAATTTTTAATATTTTGCTAAATGTTAGCTTTTCGTCCAAGTAAAATAATGCACGAAAAAAAATTGGGGGTCACCATGCTTCTTTCCGAACTATACGAGGCGATAGATAATTTTGGAGTGCATTTCGTACACGTATGTCGTTATAGCAGCGAACTATCTGTTACTAAAATTAATATAATTTGAAAGTAGAGTTACCAAAATATGTAAAAACCCCAATATCTGCTGAATAAATCCTGAAAATGCGTAGTTTGACATGTCAAAGTGCTGAACACCTGAATTTTTGAAAACTGTATCGCGCCACTTTAAGATTACTTCTACTGAATCATATAGAGGGCAAAATTACTCAAATATGATTGGCTAATGAAGAGGGCATTTTAATCTTAATTCAGGGCAAAGTTACTTGTACCTGATTGGCTGAGATGCAAGCGCGGGAAGTTTCTTGTTTTAAATAGCAATGAAAACAATGGCTTCTCGCTTTGTCGTCGCGGATAATGATGTTATTGAAGATTTAAAAACTTCTAGTGAAAACTTGAACACTAGAAAAAGTACAAATTTATTGGTTGGAGTATTTAAGAACTTTAAGAAATTGGCCGGCAGGGCAGCATCGGCGAAAAGGCGAAGACATGGAGACATACGAGGTTTAAGAAGTTGAAGTTGACAAGTTCACATTAGACAATTCCCATTATAGACTAATTTTAAAACTAGGCAAGGAGATGCAAATAAATCACCACAGCTAGAAAGAGCATGCTAAAATTAGTAAAATTACAAAATTTGGTTTTGCGAAATGTTGTAAAATGTGGAAAATATAGCCTTGCAAAGTTTGCAAATTTTGTATACTTTTGTATTGCGTGCGACATTTTCGGCCTAAATGTGGTAGGAATGTGGTAGGAATTTACGCAAGTAATACAAAAGTATACAAAATTTGCGAACTTTGCAAGGCTATACTTTCCTCATTTTACAACATGTCGCAACCAAACTTTGTAATTTTACTAATTTTGGTATGCTCTTTCTAGCTGTGGTGATTTATTTGAGTTTCCTTACCTAATTTTAAAATTAGTAACGAATAAATTTTGCTCTCTATGATTGTGAAACTTTGAAAACACGCGTGAAATTAAACCTTAATTTTACTCGGCCCCATGCGATCACCTATACTAATCAATGCTCTGTAATCAATGTAAATGTTACAATTCTCAACATTGCACTTTTATCGCGGCCTGTTGTAAAATTTACTTCCAATCAGTGCGGATTATACGTCCTATCAATGATTAACAAAACTAAATGATAGTTAATAATAAAGCAATAGGTTGTCATTTTGTTATCATTTACTATGTTTTGTTGTGTATTACATTAGCGGCTACCAAATTATGCGTTACTAGTAATAAAAATTAAATCTCGCTACTTATGCAGAGCAGACAGTAGTAAATCTTACGGAAAAGCCATTCTTTGTTGCAAGTATTGCAATATAGTATGTATTATTAATACACGACGAAATATACAATAAATGACAACAAAGTACAAGAGCGGAAGTGTGCCCTGTGCGGGTTTCAGTGTTTTGGATGTAAATAAAAATCTACATCATCCATTGTCCATCGTCCATTGTCCATCGTCCAGGTTTTAGCACATGCCGTATAGTAGCCTGCGAACAGGCTCTCAAGCTGAATTGAGAGCCTACATCGATGACTAATGAATTTGAGTATCTGCTCCGTAACGTTCGTTTTTCCAAGTATGGAATGTCTATTCTTATATGGTGTTGTTTACAACTTTCGTGCAAACTAAATTTAGACCGTGCAAACTAAATTTACTCCTCACAGTTTATACTGTTTTTCGAAATATAAGATATTCAAGCAAAAGTTCAAATGTTTTCTCAAAACAGAACATTTCGTTCTTTGAGATAAGATGGCCAAGACCAAGTTTGATCAGTTAATGTGTTTTTTATGCATAGTGCTTCAGCAGTTGACATATATAGAGCTCAGCGGAACATATAAATTATAGCATCTGACCAATGAGAATTTCGCGTCACAATTTGAAATGCAGATATTCAAATTCATTATAGTCATCGATGCAGGCTCTCAATTCAGCTTGAGAGCCTGTTTGCAGGCTAGCCGTATAGGAATCACTGATCTGAAATAAGACTGGATAACGCATCTATACAGGGAGTCCCCAAAAAAGTGACACTATAGAAATTATCTCATTGTTCTTAAGCCGCTCTTAGACGCGCGTGATTACCCGCCTGGCAATTTAATGAACTTGTATTTTCATTTAGGCATTTTAAAACGTTTTCGCTTTGTCCAAATATTTTAACGCCTGAGTCAAGCAAAACGATTACACTAATAAACGGTTTGCTTTTTATTTTAAATTCCAGAAGCAGAAGTTTATGCACCTGTGGGATCAACTTAGTGCTAGGGCATTCAAATTATAACAATAGGATAATTTCTATAGTGTCACTTTTTTTTGGGACACCCTGTAGTATACAAAAGTGAAGCCGGAAGTCACCGGTCGCCACCCGATTCTGGGGCCCCACTTTTGTATAGATTTGTATTACAGACGGTACTTTTTCGCGTTTTTTGCCTTGGCTACGTTTCCGATCGGGCCAATTTTACAATCACAAAGATAGAAGCATACAAGAAGAATTTTGAGCAAAAAATTTGGAGTATTATGGCTTTATAACGCCGTGAAACGGGATTTACAACTCTGAAGGAGTGGAAAGCCTCAGATTTTGTTTATCAAACGCGAGCTCGTTTTGCCACTTTAATACAAAATCAACTTAAAATATACAAGAATTACTGTTACTGGACGAATATTCTCAGGAAATTTGAAGAAATGAAGCAGCTACATTGTGAACAAAAGCGTACAGAGGTTAGACTTTGTTTATCAACGCGAACTCGTTTGCTACTTTCATACAAAATCAACTTAAAATATACAAAAATTATACTGTCACTTACTGGACGAATATTCTCAGGAAACTTGAAGAAACGCGAAGCAGCTACATTGTGAACGAAAGCGTACTGAGGTTAGTTTTAAAATACCTTGAGGCTACTTTTATAATTATACGATCGAATTTAATAAGGAACAGTTTTAAATGTCAATTTTGTCAAAAGCATTCCTAGGCAACTTGTCGAGAAGTTTTATATGTTTTAAAGTAGGAAGACAAGTGACAATGAAATATTTTTAACCCAAATTATAAACAAAGACTCAATATGTTATTTTAATTCATATAATTATGGAAGTAGCCTCAAGGTATTTTAAAACTAACCTCAGTACGCTTTCGTTCACAATCTTCACAATGCAGCTGCCTCATTTCTTCAAATTTCCTGAGAATATTCGTCCAGTAACAGTAATTCTTGTATATTTTTGAGTTGATTTTGTATGAAAGTAGCAAAAAGAGCTCGCGTTGATAAACAAAGTCTGAGGCTCTCCACTCCTTCAGAGTTGTAAATCCCGTTTCGCGGCGTTATAAAACCAAAATACTCAAAATTCTTCTTGTGTGCTTCTATCGTTGTGATTGTAAAATTGGCCTGATCGGAAACGTAGCCAAGACAAAAAAAAACGCGAAAAACTACCGTCTGTAATACAAATCCATACAAAAGTGGGGCCCCAGAATCGGGTGGCGGCTGGTGACTTCCGGCTTCACTTTTGTATACTATAGATGCGTTATCCAGTCTTATTTCAGATCAGTGATAGGAATGCATATACTGAACCAGTTAGACAACTCGCCTTCGCCAGTTCGTCAGTTGACGTCTGTCGTTCGTAGACATACCCGTATCGGTTGTTTAATTGCTAATTACATACTGGACGATTAATGGAAGGAAAAGTTGGTTATTTAGTATTAAAAAACAAGCAATCTGCAAGCACTCATCTGACTTGTGACTCAAGCGGAACTATAATCAGGCAACAGATGCTGCATGCATATCGTAAGACTGAGTCGCAGACTGAGGTAAAAAACACTATATCTAACTCGCTACCAACACTCCCATTCAGAAACGGGTGATCATATTCAAAATATGGGTTAAAGTACTCCAGAAATATTTTTACCTGCTAATCCAAACCTCACGAAGCACAAGCTTAAAATGAGACAACCTGTAATAAGAAGATGTTCACATATTTGTTAGATATGGAATTCGCACAACACAAGAAATAGAACATTCATGAAATGATATTTGAATAGTTCATGAAATAATATTTGAATTTGGACAGTTCTGTCAATTTTCTTCATATTAGATATTGCTCAGAAAAGGCAATTAAGCGCCGGATTTCTTGATTCTATGGCCTTGCACATAATGTCAGTTTGAAAAGGTAGATAATATTAGTTTCCGATCGCATGTGCAAAGGGTGTAGAGCGACAGCACGTGGTGAGGGAACATTAATTCCGCACGGGCATATACCCCAGGTATGTGAGAATGAAATGTTGCTGACCAAAATTTAACTCAAAGAAAAGCTTGTGCCAGAGGCAGAAGTATTTTGAATTAAAATAACGGCAAAACAGTTTTTGTCTCTCCGGTTCCCTATAGTAGCACGGCCGGGATAATCGAGGGACGAAAGTTCCAAATGGTTGTCGAGTAGGCTTATATACGTGGACCACTGGACTATCCAGTACATGTACACTAACCATCGAAACAAACAAAAATTGCCTGGGACTTTTAAAAATTTTATATTTTGAAATATTTGTAATAAAATAACTCTGAACGATCCATCATTTTGAGAGTCAAATCAATGAGTCCGGAGAGCAATTTTACATATGCCGAAGTTTTTTAATGTTTTAAAATCATATACTGTCAACAACGTGTAGGGCTGTCGTTCAATTTACCTAACCTTCCAAACATTTTTAAAAAGTATTCTATCATAAAGTCATGAAACACTCTCAGAAAACGTATGTCCATTTTCAGAAAAAAAGCGTGAAAAAGCAACATTCTGTAGCTCAGTTGGTTAGAACACTGCACCGGAATTGCAGGGTCGCGGGCTCGATTACCGCCAGGGACCTATAGTTGAACCTTTCGCAGCTGTTCCTGGTTAGATCTAATACAACCTCGCAAGCCAGGGTCTTTAACTTCCGCACGGCGCTACGGGGCAAAGACCCTGGTTCCCTCTGGTCACGTGAGCTCCTAAAAATTAGGGCAACAAGAGGTCCTAGGGGAGGGTGGTTGAAATGTGATATCTTGTAATTTACAACTTCCGGTTTAATGTTGTGTTTTCAAGGCCCGCCAAGGAGTGACTGTAAGGCTATGAGAAGTGACTTCAACTGCCATGCAAAAACATTCAAAATGTGTTATTTTTCTTATTTGTCTGCAGTTTTCTATTATAAATATTTTGTATGCAAACACTATTTTGAAGCCCAAGCAGGTTATTTGCTTGGATCGAAAAGCAAAAGCTGTCCTTTGGTGTGTATATACTGGCAATTTTTCCAACCGGTAATATGGCGAGTCGCTGATTTACCAGCTTTTGCCTTTGATGCTTTTCGCTAAAAGAGCGTCAGGAGAATGTCCAACTCATGGCGTTTGTGTAAATGAGTAATGCTGCTCGTTACAGTATATCGCGAACGCGCCTTTGATAAACAACCAGCTCGAAAATTATGTGCGATAAAACTCAGAGTATCAGCAATAAATGTTTTTCAGCAGCCATTAAATGATTAAAATGTCACAACAATGAGATTGATTGCGATGTAGCTGAAATTGACCAAAAGACAAAACTAATTCTAACGTTTCTTTTGAATCCATTATATTGTTATCTCAATTTTGTTCACTTTATGCCAAACGTAGTATATTGCGTGTTAATAACGTACCAGTCGTTATTGCATGACTGCTACAGCATATAAACTTCACCGAATGCACAAAAAAGAATTACTTGGCTTGAATAATTGCTTTTAGTTGGTTGCAAATTCTGAGCGAAAGAATATCTTTTACGAAAAGGCATTCACATACAAGCACTGATATTGATGCCTTGGCGGACATTTGCAGACCAATTTATGCTGTAGTGTATGCAAAACACAATGACAATATTTATGTGTCGAGTGTAGTTTCGATATGAAAAGGGAATGCTATTACCTGATTAGACAAATATTTTTGGCCTGTGAAATATTCTTGACTTTGTACCAAATGAATACACAATTAATCACAAATGTGAATTTTGTTGAACTCAGTTTTTTTAAAGTGGGCACAAGTTGCACTCTCTCATATATATGTCATTATTTGCATATATAAACTCAATTTACTTCATGGACAGTATACAAAAACCCATATAGCAGTGCCAGAACAAAATTCTAAATTGAATATATGTCATATTTATACAGTATACTGTACCCATACAGCTATTTCAATTAAAGATGTCACAGACAATAGTCAGATGTACAATAATATGAGTGCTAAATGAATAATGGGAATAATGATAGTTTTCAATAAGTTTAAACCTCAAATATATTATGAATAGCAATTTAATTTGTATTCCCGTGAGGCTATTGATGTGTTAAAATAGGATTTTTTTAGCGTTCAATTGTACATTTAACTATTGTCTGTGACACTAACCTTAATTGGAATAGTTGCATTATAATATAGGACAAGTGCAAATTGTGCATCTATTAATCCTTTCAAGCTAGGGTAGTCTTGGTAGCCTGTGCTACAGTCATACATTTCATTGTTGCTTATTCGTGCAAGTGTTACAGAATACAGTATTCACAGTCATAATTCCTCTTCATCTTCTGATGTGTTGTCCACTGATACGTGCTTGGTGAATGTTCCTTTTGTGTTCGTTTAGCTATAGTCATCAAATGCAGCGACAATTTGTTTATAATGTTGCTAATGTATCTGATGATATATCTGTGAAGAAACCTTCATGAAAGTGATCACATACCGTATTGTTCATTGCAAATGGTTTCAATTCCAAGAGATCACATAAAATAACATTTTCTCCGAAGATTTGTGCTTGTGAGAGGATGCCTTCTTGGCTCAATTCCTACAGCTATGTCGAAGTTGTTTATCATTTCTGCAGATTGATATTCCTCCAGTCGGTATACTTTAATATTACACATTCGATTGGCTTCACTGTCTTGGGTGTTTTTTTGGCCCCCATTCTTTTAATTTAATGTTAATTTAGGAAGATAAGAAAATCCATCATCCGTCATCACACGCACGAGTTCCACAATTCACAAATTCTGCGATACGAAGCAGGTTTTTATTTCGCTATTCAGCTAGCTCTAAGAATAGGTTGTTGCAATACTACTTGTCGATAATATACTACCACAAAGGCGACACTTGCATTCCGAAAACAAAGCGGATTTCGGGTAAATAATCTTTGGAGTTTCCTTTCGCTGTGCCATAGCTTGAGAGCTACTGTATACTGTACTTTGACTTTGTATAAGTGTGCATTCGACCTTTATTTTCTTTGCGTTGATAAATAATGGCTCCACTTCAAGGTGTAAAACAGACCTCCAGCCATGCAAATTATATCAAGTAGGTGTAAAAAGCTTTCAAGCGCCAGGCGGTGACATATTTCATAAAAGATAACACAAAAACCGACAAAACCCAAAATATGGATGAATACAGAGCGTAAATGGCCGTATTTTCCATCAATCTCATACCCAGAGCCAGCTCTGGGTACGAGATTGATTTTCCATAGGCATAGTTATAAACGTTTTCGTTTTCGCTCTTGAATTCTCCCTACAACTCCTCCCTAAGTGGCAAAGAGGCGGCAATTCGAATTACCCCTAAAATCTGGGGGTTCACGTGACCAGAGGGAACCAGGGTCTTCGCCGGAGCCCGAGCGCAGGTAAAAGACCCTGGCTTGCGAGGTTGCGGTCGCGATAGCAATATATCATATAAAAACCTCTCAAAATTATCACTACACAGGGAGTATTTTGCTTACAGTGCGTTACAGTCTGTAATTGCTTATGAATGCTTGCAAGCAATATGGCTACACACACACATGACATTCGTTCAATGCCATTTTTAACGCAATATATACAGTATTTAAGCCTTGTTATTAGCCTTTTCCCAAACGAGAAAAGTACTGGGTCTAGTCGTGACCTGCAATGCATCTATGGATTGTTCGGAGGGACAAAATTACAAATTTGAAGAAAAAACAAATCTAAAATGGTTGAAAATGGACTTCACTACAAAATATATTTGTTTAACTCGTTATCGGAATCCTTTGTTGCAGGACTAGATCCAGTACCCTACTCGATTGGGAAAAGGCTAATTGGTTAATACCGTTGTAACTTAGGGAGGATTTGACTCCTACTTTGTTTCTGCACCATGGTTTAAAAACATGTAAATAGCCGACGCCGTAAATAAAAATTCTATCTATTTGTAT